CTTCATACTCTAGAAGTACACACATATACTTCTAAGTTTCAGATGTCATTATTTAGATATATTCTAAATAGCAGGAGAAACAGCTATCCTATCAACCAGGTAGGGCTACAAAATAGTCTCTGAGGTCTGACTAAAATAAAATAAAAAGAATAACAAGAAGAAATGTATCCACTAGGGCTGTTACACCTGTCTCTTCACAGTGGCAGACATACTTACATCCATTAATCCATATCACACCAGTAAAAAAGGGAGAAATGAAAAATCATAGCTAGGGACTCTCCCTGCCTAAAATAGGTTCCATACCAGGAATGATAATGTGACTCACTCTAAGGCTCCAGAGGAATGTTTTTGGCTTCTGGCCAAAGGAAATGAGCCAAGTTACAGATACTCTAATTAAAAACTGGACTGAAAGCCTTCCAGCTTGGATTTGACACAGGACTCCAGATGGCAACTGCTTCCTGACACACTACTGGCCTGGACTGAATTCTAATTACTGTTCTATGGCTAGGAAACAGCCTATGCCTTCTACTACTCCTAAGCCAATGGTCTTAAGCACTAGCATTTGATAATTTTCAAGTAATACTGGAGGAAGAGTCCCTTCACAAAATAAATATGGGAGTGACAGCAAAAGAAGACAATGATCAGATTAATGTGTACAACATGTGCCCAGAAACTCTCAAATCTGGGCTCCTACTTGGACTTTCTGAAAGGAAATATTTCAAATACAGAATCTAGTTTTAAAATATTTATTTATAAGAATGAAGATGTTTCCCAAGCTTATTCACTGTGTGTATTTTTATCACTACACTCAATGTAATTATTAGTTTATTCATCTGTTCATTTCCCCTAAATAAACTGTGAGCTCCTAAGGCTGGGGCTGTATCCTTTAGCTCTGTATCCCCAGTCTCCAGAACAGGGCCAAGTGTATAATAAGCATTTAACACAGATTTATTAAATGAATGTCAATGAAAAGGCTCCCCAACACATCAGGTATGTATGGAGTGAGTACTGGCATTAAGTTAAGCCATCCTTCTCACTGGAATGGGATGTCATGGGCTTTTAATGATATAGTACAAATACCATTATACTTGAGGTGGATTATGGGTTAATATGTTTTTGAGACCTGATATGAAAACATAAAGGCAAAAGACGTATTTTAAGTAAGTAATATATAGTAATATATAGGTAATTCCCACAAGATGGTACCAAAGCACTATAACCCAGAACCACACATAAGCAACTATGTCATTTGACTACCATGATGACATTACATTTGTTACAAGAGTGGCCAAAGACCATGACGTCAAGTTAAGTGACATTATTTCTCCCACTCATTCGAAAATACCTAAATAAGATCAGGACTAAGAAAATGAATTAATTTTACATGGTTTTTATATATAAGTTGTGAGTAAATCCATTAATGTAACTAAAAAGAAAGCTAATGCTCTAGAAATCCCCATAATTTATCATTTTGTCCAGTGGCACTTAACAGGATATCAGTATTTTGGGGGAGAGTGTGGTACCTCACAGTTCACGTGAATAAAGAACATACGTTTCATTTTCAGCTCCGTTGGTCTTGCTTTTCCTCTGTTTCTGCTCATTGGTTGCTGGAGGGGCTTGTCCCATGGCAGGAGGTTTCCGCTTCGCTAACATTTTCCGTTGTCTTTCTATCTCTTCCCTCTGTGAATTTATCCTTTCCTGCTGCCTGAAGATATAAAAGATGTTGCATAGAAGGTCAAAAAAATTGTAAGACAGCTGCAGAATACACACAAATATCTTGGTACCCACACATTTTGATAAACTTCAAAAAAATAAGCCCCTTTAAATCAAGTAAAGATTTGATTTTAACTTCAGGTTGGAAGAGTCAAATAACCGATGACAGAAAGATTTTTTTTGGAATGAGTCTGTGCTTTAAGACAGTAGTTATGATTATTCTCAGAACAGGAAAGTAGGCAGGAACAATATCCAATTTTCACTGTGACCTTATTTTCTGACTCAAGGAAGAATTTTTTTCTCTCTCTCTCTTACTTTCTTTTAAAGATTTATTTGTCAGAGAGAGAGAGAGCAAGAGAGCACACGCAGGGAGAGCTGCAGAGGGAGAAGGAGAAGTAGGCTCCCCAGTGAGTAAGAAGCCTGATGCGGGACTCGATCCCAGGACCCTTAACCAACTGAGCCACCCAGGCACCCCTAAACTAAGGTTCTCAAAAACAAGTACGTTCAGAAAAAGCACAATGAGGCCTTGCAACTCGTAAAAACTCCTTAGGGAATGGGACATAAAATGAACTCACAAAAAACATATATAAAGATTCTTCAGATATCTAACACCATCACCATTAGAGGATTTCCTAATAAGAAGTCTGAACTTTCTATAATAAACCCATTTGCAAATTAGGAGTCAGTAAAAATATCAATCTAAGAAAACCACTTTCTCTCATGTATGCCTAACAGATATTAAGGTTTGGAGAGCTGGCATATTAAAAATATACCAAGATTTAGGATTAATCATTTAAAAGACTAAAATCTTTAAATCACCTACCCTAGTTGAGAATCAAATGCTAGCTCCCTTCTCCTTCTCTCTCTACCATGCTTCTCCCACCTCCTTTATTGATCCCATCTTCATTTCTGCAGAATAATGGAATCTAAGTTTTTTTTTTTTTAAGATTTTATTTATTTATTTAACAGAGAGAGAGATAGCGA